CTTAATCGATGTCATCAGTGACCGGCCCAAGGCAGGGTATCTGACCTGTATTCTACTGTACTAGCAGATGGCTGGAGTGTGAGGGTTTGGGTCTGTCTGTGCATAGTGTGGCTGAGTATGTGTGTGTGTGTGTGTGTGGTCAGGACAACAGGGAGGCGCCCATGTGCAGAAGGGGCTTCACTGTCCAGCCTGGGTTTGTGTGACAGTGATGTTGGCTGGCTGGTGCTGGCAGGCTAGGAGGGCATAGTCGTGTTGGGCATGAGGAACCTCTTTGTGCTGTAATGCCTCAGCCATCTTCCTATTACCAGCATAATGGCATTATTATTGTATTAACCATGTCCTAGAGTCCAATCTTTTTTTTTTAACTGCCAACAGTTAAATAATGATTTTTTGCAGAGACATATTTTGAAGTGTTACTAGATTAAAATCCATACCAGCGCAAACTTGATACTGTCTAAACTACTTTATGTGTAAAGTATCAGAATGCAGGTCTTTTGGTATGTGTCTCCCTCTAGTGGCAGATAGTGGCCTAGCTGACTATCCTTCATATCTTTTTCTGCTGTGTAAGAGGGTTGGTTGTAACATCTAACTGGTGAATTTCGGGAAAGATACCATCTGCTGACTACAGCCGAAAACCTGATACCAACGTACCGTAGGGCGTGTCTTGGAAAATGCCCGTTTGCAGATTTGCGATGTGACCGGAACAAAAAGCATCATCAAACTTGTGTCACGAGTGGCATCTCAGGGAATCACACTGTCACACTGTTTCATATAATCATGAGGAAATTTGTTTTCAGAACGGAGTGAGATCACAGTTTCTTTACTTTACTGGGGCATTTTCCAAGCCGGTGCGGGAAGCTGTGGTCTCTGCTCAGGTATATCAGCTCCGTCAAGCTGTTTCAAACCCTGCTGTAATATTAGCAGGTGGAAAAGACATTGACTGTATCTATTACTTGCCAAACTCCCCTCCCTCTGTGCGCTACAGAAGGGAGCATGTGAATCAGGGTAAATGAAAGCCATGCTTTCTGAGTCACTCACATTTATTGCCAATCTTCTCACAGCATGAGGATATTGGGGGTGTGTGGCGGGGGGGGTTCTGTGCACTGTGTCTCAGTGTGTCACTCTTATACATACCAATCAGTGGACAACTTTCCACTTCCACCAGGGCGCAGTATGTGTGACCCCTGCCAATGGTGGCATCTCCCTCTCCTTTACCGATGCCCACGATCACTGTCATCCTTTGGTCTGTGCCAAGGACGTGCCCTTGAGATGTTCTGGAGCTGCAGATCCCGTTAGTACTGCACGCACCTCCCGATTTTCCAGAGTTCAATGTGTCCCTGGGTCAACAAGAGAGGGGCTTGCGATCCATTTCTTTGACCACACCTGGTGTTTAACCACAATCACGGTCTATATTGTAAGACATCACCGTATTAATTAAAACCGGCATTGAGCAAGGTGCACAGACTTGTGAAGTACCCATTTTATCGCGTTTGCTTTTCCTTAAGGGGACACATGTCATGTCAATGTTCATGTCACACATACAAAACATAGGAACATGCTTATCTGCAAAAGCTGTATGGAACAATGTAAGGGCATATCCTCCAATGACAATAATATGGACCTTTCTGAACAGCACACAGACATGCGACTATTCTGCCTAAACCAGTGACCCGATCACAGGCACAGAGACCCGATCACAGGCACAGAGATCCTATCACAGGCACAGAGACCCGATCACAGCCACAGAGACCCGATCACATGAACAAAAACCTGATCACAGGCACAGAGATCCTATCACAGGCACAGAGACCCGATCACAGCCACAGAGACCCGATCACAGGCACAGAGACCCGATCACATGAACAAAAACCTGATCACAGGCACAGACGCCCGATCACAGGCACAGAGACCCGATCACAGGCACAGAGACCCGATCACATGAACAAAAACCTGATCACAGGCACAGAGACCCGATCACAGGCACAGAGACCCGATCACATGAACAAAAACCTGATCACAGGCACAGAGACCCGATCACAGGCACAGAGACCCGATCACATGAACAAAAACCCGATCACAGGCACAGAGACCCG